TCGCGGTAACATCTTACTGCTTCCTACACCTGCCTATTGACTTTAGCAAGATAATCTGCATTTGTGCCCATGGTTTCAAGCCCCTGGTGGTGGCGGCGGTGGTAATGTGCTGTGGAGTAGGTTCCGAATCATAGTGACCCTATACAGGGTTTCTGAGGCTGTAAATCTTTTGTTGCTGTTGTTGTTAGGAGCCATTGGGTCAGTACCAACCCATAGCAACCTTATGCACAGCAGAATGAAACACTACCCGACCCTGGGTTAACCTCACTATTGTTGACACGCTTGAGACCATCGATGCTGCCACTTGGCCAATCCATCTCTTTGGGGGTCTTGCTCTTTTTCTCTGACACTCCACCCTACCAAACATGATATCCTTCTCCAGTGACTGGTCCCTCCTGACAATATGTCTGAAGTATGAGAGATGAAGTTTGATCATCTTGGCCTCCAAGGAGCACCTGGCTGCACTTCTTCCAAAACGGATCTATTGGTTCTTTTGGCAGCCCATGGCACTTTCAATATTCTCCTCCAACACCATAACTCAAAAGCATCAATTCTTCTACGGTCTTCTTTATTCACTGTCTAGCTTTCACATGAAAACACCATGGCTTGGGTCACGGGAGCAGAAAACCTCATCTTTCTCCCATGGGACAGCTGGTAGTTTTCAACTGCTGAACTTGAGGTTAGCAGCCCGACTCGTAACCACTAAGCTGCACTGAAGTCCCTGATTTAGTTTAGAGAAAACTTCAGCTAATCCTTCCTCTGGTAGATATTCTCCATCTTATCCAGCTCATCATGGGATTTTTCAGCAGTTTCAGCATCTGCTGAAGTACTTTCTGCTTCTCCACTTATAAACACATTGTATGAGCCCAATCCATTGGTGAGGTGATGAAACCAGCTCGGACTACATTAAAGTACTAACAGAATTCTTCTCCTTGCTGTTCCTTCAGGTTTTCAAAAAAGGTATGCTTTCGTTTGCCTCCTCAATAAACTTATCTAGGAAGGAGCTCTGGTAGCATAGTGGTTACAAATCAGGCTGGTAGCCTCAAGGTTGGCAGTTCAAAACTACCAGCTGTCAGTTCTGGTTCTGGGCTACAGCCAAGAGAGGGAGGTAGGGAAAGCTCTGGTAAGAAGGGAGGGGAATCTCATGAAGGAAACATTCATATACTAGACCCATGGCTTTTGAACTATCATAAGATCTAGTATTTCGGTCTCTCAAGCTGGCACTTTTGAGAAATCACACTGCTGAGGAAAGGACGGACATTTTAAGTCTCTCCAGCGACTGCAGAGTTTAGAGGGCGGGGCTAAAGCCAGCCCTGTTCGGAAAGCGGTATTTCCAACAGGAAGAAAAAAAAAAAAATCGGGCATCCTGAACAAGAAACGACATAACTCCCCCCCAAAATCTCCCTGTCCTGGCTTAAGATCTCAGCAAGATCATCAGGCGGGTCAGTTTGTCCATGGCACAGAGAGAGGAAGCGAGGTGACAACTTTTGACATCATTCGCCATCCGCCATCCCCAATCTGCAGCTCTGCATCTAAGCCGCCCTGGCCCCACTCCCAGATAGCAGCGGGGATCATCCAGCTGCTGTTCTGGCGGGGCAAGAAACAGAAAAAGTTAACCAAGGCCGCATCTCTGCTCCAAAGTGGTGATTTCTGTCCATGCATTTATATTACATATGCTTTTGGTCCTTTTGGTCACACATCTTTCCTGGAGGTGGGAGCTTTTCCTCCCTACCTCACCTAAGAAGAAGAAGCAGTCATGGCCATATAGCCAAGCTATAAGCATACAACATAATAATCCACCACTAAGACAAGACCCAACAACACCTGCTACGCATTACAGACAATAAGGGAAGCCCATCTCCCAATCATATTAATAATAATGATAATAAAATAATAACCATGACCAATAAGAAACAATCAACTTTATCGAAACACATTCAAAAACAGAAGTGAGCAGCTGACGCAGATGAGCTGGAGACAGACAAAGGCTTTATAGAGGAGGAGGAGTGGGTTCTGGATATGCCTGAGAGGGAATTCAGAAGAGTGATATGGAAACAAATTCAAATACTCAAAAAGGGGTCGAGGAAAATAAGGAAGAAGTAAGGAAAGTACTGCAAGAACAATCAAATAGGATTGACACAGCTTTGGAAACAATTCAAAACCTGCAAAAAGATGTCCAGGTGATCAATAATAAGATATCAGAAATAGACAAAAGGCTGAAAGGGGAAAGGAGCAGACTAGAAGAGATGGAAGCCAGAACTAGCAAACTGAAAACAAATCTCTCAATATAGCCAAGGTAGAAGAGCAAGCAGCTAAAAGGATAAAACAATCTGAAGAGAGTCTAAGATTCATGCTAGATAACATGAAGAGAAATAATGTAAGAATTATTGGCATTCCAGAACAAGAAGCAGCAGGGAAGTCCACAGAGGAGATAGTTGAAGAGCTTCTGGAAGAAAATTTTCCTAACATCTTGAAAGACGAGAAGATAAACATTCAAGAAGCCCAACATACCTCAGGAAGAATAGACCCCAAAAGAAAGTCTCCAAGACATATAATAACCAAGCTCTCCAAAATCAAAGACAAGGAAAGAATACTAAAAGCAGCCAGGGAGAAGAGAAATATAACTTATAAAGGCAAGTAAATTAGATTAAGCTGTGACTATTCAGAACAAACCATGCAGGTGAGAAAGCAATGGGGAGACTGTCAACCAAGAATCGTCTATCCAGCAAAACTATCAATCAAATATGATGGTGCGATCAAAATATTCCAGGATAAACAAAATCTGAGAGATTTTATCAAAACCAACCCAGCACTTCAAAACATCCTAAAGAGAGTTCTGTGGACAGAGAACCAACAAGAACAGACAACAAACAGAGATTGACAGGTATGGCAACACCATCTGGAACACAGCCAACAGATAGTGGCGTCCAGAACAGAATGAGACTACAACAAACTCAAAGGAATGGGATGATTAACTGAAGGCCAAAAACATATCAATGTCAAAGAAGGGACAAACTCAGCAACGGAAGCCCAGGTGATAGGGATGCCAGGTAAATTACAGGTTACAATGGAGTATCCTAAATGCAGAGTAAAGTTAGTAGACTACAAGGTAACCCCAAAGAAAGTTAACACTCCACAACATATCATAAAAACGAATTCCCAAGCAGAACAAGCGAACATAGAAACTAGGAAGAACCAACCAGAAACAACTCAAAGAACATAAAGCCAACACAAGAAAGAAAGCAGAACCCAAGCTACCAGCTGTTCGTCAGGAGAAGATGAGGCTTTCTACTCCCGTAAAGATTGACAGCCTCAGAACCGACTCCACGGTACTTAGCAACAACAGGAATCCTCTTCTGGATTTAGTCTTTTATCTAAATTATCAACAGCTTCTCCAGCTCATGAATTGGCCCTTGCCTCTTCTTTGTTAAAACTGTTTTTTGTTTTGTTTTGTTTTTTTATGCCAATTGCTCCTTTAACTGCTGCCAAAATCCTATATTTACTTGTAGTGATTGTTGAAACAATGGAATGAGACAGCCCTTCCTCACATGCTGCTTCTCTTTCTTTCCATTGTCACAGACCTTAAGCATTTCCATCTTTATATTCATATCTAGAACAGTCTTCAAAGAGCCCTGGTGGCACAGTGGATTAATCATTGCTAACTGAAGAGTCAGAAGTTCAAATCCACTAGGCACTCCATAGGAGAAAGATAAGACCGTCTGTTCCCATAAAGACCCAGAGTCTTAGAAATCCTGTGGAGCAGTTTTACTCTGTACTGGTGTGATGCACTGCAAACCACAAGGTCAGCAGTTCAAACCCACCAGTTGCTCGCTATGAGTCAGAACTCACTCAACGATGCTTAACAGCAGCAACACTTGGGTTGCTATGAGTCAGAACTGTGGATGGCATTTTGTTTTGGGTTAGAGCCTTCCTCACTTTTTCTGAATGAGAACTTTCAGTGGCATGACTTCATTTGCTAGATATACTGTTGGGGGTAAGGAGCTCTGGTAGCGTAGTAGATTACGAGATTGACTGCTAACCACAAGGTTCGAATCTCCCAGTTGCTCCTCAGAAGAAAAATGAGATTTTCTGATCACATAAAGATTTACAGCCTTGGAAACCCTATGTCAGGTCACTATGAATTTGAACCAACACTGTTTCAGGACACAACTTGACCATGGTAGAAGTGAACCAGTGAGAATATGCCCAGCCCTTTAATCACCTCATAATAACACTGTTGACTGCTTACTAATTAACTCATAGTGACCCAAATAAGGTTTTTGAGACTGTAAATCTTTACAGAAGCAGATAGCTTCATCTTTGGGGTTTGAATCACCAACCATGCTGTTAGCAGCCCAACACCTGACCCACAGAACCACCCACCCGCACAAAGTCCCAAGAACCATGTGAACGTTTGATATGCATTACCTTAGTTAGATTCGCAAAATCCTATCCACTTGTTAAAGATAAGAAAACAAAGGCTGACAATGGTATCCTGCCAAAGTCAAAATGTTTGTAAGTAGTAGAACTGGGATTTGGAATCAGGACAGTTTAACTCTAAATCATATATATTTTTGGTCACATTTACACAGACATGAATGCATGTACATGCATGTAGCCCATTAGGCTTTTCAACCCCTAAAATGAAATAATAATAATAACAGAGCTTGGTCTAGTTTGACATATTTGTTCCTACATAGTTTGCAGCACAGCAGCTAAGAAAGATGTAGTGAAGGTTGGCCAGAAACTACTGGGTGTCCTAAGGGGCTGGTGCTTTATCACCTGGCCAGGACTGGCTCCTAACTGTGCATGCTGGCAAGTGATCTTTGTGTTGACTTTACAGTCCTGGTATGAGCTGCCAAGTTGGCCAGAGAATTTGCTAAAAACCAATGGGCCACATGAGTGAGAATCATCAATGGTAGAGACTGGGTCCAGGACCAGGGGACAGCCAGTCCACTGTTCCCTGGGTCACTTACTATCTTCTTCTTCTGTCTTTGCAGCCAACCTCCATTTGAAGCCTAGGGTGGTGCCTCTGGGGGAGCAGCCAGCATACCACGGGCCTGTACACTGCATGGCTACTATTGTGCGGAATGAGGGTCTGGCAGGCCTGTACCGGGGTGCCAACGCCATGCTCCTGAGGGATGTCCCAGGTTATTGCCTCTACTTCATCCCCTATGTGTTTCTGAATGAGTGGATCACACCTGAGACCAATGCAGGCCCCAGTCCCTGTGCCGTGTGGCTGGCAGGAGGCATGGCAGGTAAGGGCAGCAGGAACTGGGGCCCCATCACTGTGCCAGATGCTACAGTGGGACAGCTGGGGTATCTGTCATATCATACTCATCTTTGGGGAGGGCAGGACTCACTTAGCAACTCACCCAGCAGTTCTTTATTCAGTACCTAGTATGCCCCAGCACTGTCAGGTGAAAGTCTAGGAATGGAGAATGGTACCCCTCCTTTTCCTACCCATCCCCTCTGGGGCTATAAAGATGGCAAGTCCTCACTTGGGCTCAGTCAATAGATATATTTTGAGCAGTTAATCTGGCTCCATAGGACAAGCACTGGACTGAAAACAAGGTCAGTGGTTCGAGCCTACCAACCATTCTGCAGTAAAAAGATGAGGCATTTTGTTCCTACAAAAACTTTAAGCCTTAGAAACCCTATGCAGGGTCGCTATGTGTTGGAACCACCTTGACAGCACTTAACAACAACAACAACAGTAGCAGCAGGCGTTACTGAGCTTGGTTAAGGGGCTGTTATCGTGGTTCACCTTTATTGAACATAGTGCCTTGTTGTTGTTGTTGTTGTTATATGCCATGGAGTCGGTTCCAACTCATAGCGACTGTACAGGGTTTCTGAGGCTGTAAATGTTTATGGGAACAGAAAGCCTCATCTTTCTCCCATGGGACAGCTAGTAGTTTCGAACTGCTGACTCTGAAGTTTGCAGCCCGATTCATAACCACTATGTTTCCAGAGCTCCTTGAACATAGTGCCTAGATCATAATAAATTTAGAATATGTTTATTCATTCATTTAGTCACAAAATATGTAGAGGGTGTCCCGAGATATCGCTTATTTATAAGCCTGAAGAGTTTCTGAGCAGAGGGAATAGCAAGTGCAAAGGCCCTGTGGCAAGAAGAATGTCAGCCATACTCAGGTTGCAGCAAAGACTTCAGTGTGGCTAAAGCAGAGTGAGTAAGAGAGGATGAATAGGAAAAGGGTTCAGAAAGTTAACAAGAGCTAGGCCATGGGAGGTCTTGAAAACAACTGCAAAGACATTGATTTTCACCATAATTAAATAGGAGCTAGTGCAGGACTTTAAGTAGAGGAGTGATTTGTGATTTCAGGGTTTATGTTGTCAAAGGATTACTGTGGTCTCCATGAGTAGAGTCGATGTGAGTGTAGCAAGGTAGAAAGTTATTATAGTAATAAAAGCAAGAGTTGTTGGGGGTTCAGACTCAGGAGGTATCTTTCAGTGGACGTGCTGAAAAGTAGCAGGTGTGATTTGAAGGTAGAATCTGCAGCATTTTTTAAAGACAAATTAATGTATAAAACTTGAAAGAAAAAGAGGAGTCAAGGATGCTTCCAAAATTTCTGGCCTGAGATACTGGAAAGATGGATTTCCACCAGCTGAGATGGGGCCAAATGGGAAGGAACCCATAAAAAGCTGGTTGTTTGGACCACATGAGTTTGAGATGCTTATTAGACATCTAGGGGAGATGTGAGTGGGCTGGAGATAGGTACTTGGGAGTCACCAGCATAAAGATGGTATTTAATCATAAGACTCGGTGTAATCACATAGATCACATCGTCTTGGACCTTTAGAGGTAGACAGATGATAAGGTCCTACAAAGGGGGACATAATGTATAAGAAGATATGGGCAGAAAGGAAGGGTGTGAAGGAGAAAAAGAAGAAAAGAAAGGGTGAGTGAGGTGTCTTCAAACCGCTTGAAAGAATAGGAAGCATGCAGCCATGCCCAGCAGTGCTGAGAGGCCACATATGATGAAAAGGGAGAGAACTAGTTATTGAATTTACAACACTGAGTTAGGAGGGTACTTTTACAAAAGTCTTTTGGTGAAGAGAAGGATGTGAAAATATAATTGAAATAGAATCAAGCCAGATGGGATGAAAGGAATTGGAGAAACACAAGAACTTCTGGGGGATTTTGCTTGATATAGGACAGAGATAAGTTCCAGCTGGAAGCCAAGAGAGGATCTCTTTAAGTAGATTGCGTGTAGTGTGTGACACTCCTGGGAAAGAACCAATAGAAGGAAGAAAATTAATACGACCAGTTCTCCTCTTCCTCCTCCTCCTCAGCTATGCTTTAAACTTATAACAAACACATAATAAGGCCCACAGCTTCATCACTACAGAGCCACGTTCCTACTCCACCCCCATGCTTCCGAGGCCTGTGTGGCACTTGGTTTGCAGTCAGTGCTCCATAAGCACTTGTTGACTGAGTGGACAGACAAGGCTTCCGTCTGCTCACTTGTCTGCTGAGAGCAGGTGTGTGTGATCAGGCAGGTAGATCTCACCTGAAGTGCCCTTGCCCATGGACACGGGACAGAGGTACATATTAGGGCAGCCCCTGGGCTGACTCTTGTGAAGTGGTCTCTTAATATTGCAGATAAAGGTGTTGAGGTCCAGAGAAGCTCCCAGAGGGGCATGGGCAGGAATTTCAGAAGTCTGGAGACTGGGATGGGTGGGGAGGGATCCCAAGGCATCCTGAGATCTCCTTTGGGAGTTTCTGGGTAGTAATTATAAAACTCTGCAAACCAGCTGTCCTGGACTTTGGCAACAGTTTATTTTTCTTACCCCTCCTAAGAACGTGTCGATTTCTGTGTTTACTCAATAACCTGGTGTTGTTTTCCTAGAGTCCATTAAAGTCACAAAAGTTTCCAAACTAGGCCAGATGAGCCTATCCTGTTAGGGAGACCCTGGTACATGGTGCCAAGGCTTCTATGCCACATATTTAGAAAGGCAATGTTTAAAGACCCATATTTGCTCTTTTTCCAATCAAGCCTGGCCCTTCCTTGCCTAGCAACCTATCTGCAAGTGTTTGTTTAGCTTTTTTTGTGTTCAGAGTAAATCCTCCTTCCGGGGAGATGCAAACTTTTGGCCTCCTGTCTCACAGTGGGCTCATTCTCTCTCTCCTGATGCCCAGGAATAGTGCTGCAAAGCATTTGTGGGGCCTTTTATTGTTTCTCTAGTAAACACTGCTAATCACAGTGGCTGTTTATTAAGCACTGGCTGTGTAGCTGCCACTGTGCAAGATGCTTTATGGGCATCGTTCATTTGATCTTCACAGCAACAAAAAGTTACCAACAAGGGGCCCAAGGCCTGGAGTGCTACAGCACATTGTGGCAGGAGGGTCAGGACCCAGCTTTCCTAGGTCCTAACCCAGAGCTCAAGACCTGACACCTGTTTGTCTCTTTCTTTTTACAGGAGCAATTTCTTGGGGGACAGCAACTCCAATGGATGTCGTGAAAAGTCGACTTCAGGCTGACGGGGTTTATTTCAGCAAATATAAAGGTGTCCTGGACTGTATCTCCCAGAGTTACCAGAAGGAAGGTCTTAAAGTAAGGCCCATGGCAGTCATGCAGGGTCACTTCCAGTCCTTGGAAGGTGGTTCAGATATTTGAGGGAATGCACCATGAAAGAGAAGGGAATCAGGAAGCCAGGAAGGGGGTGGGTGATGGTTATCATTTTCAAAAACTGTAGGCAGGCACTGTACCTTCACCTGTGTTATCTGTCTAAACTTGACCCATGCACGTGGAGGAGATAGGTGAGCGCTCCCCCTGGCAGAGTTCAGAAAGGAGTAGTAACATGCCTGGGGTCACACAGCTGGTGCATGGTAGAGCTATGTTTGTCACCAAACCAATCAAGATTGGTTGGGACACCCTGCCTCACTCACTGCTAATTCTCTCCCTTCCCCCAAGTGGGAAGTTCAAATGATATTTTTCATCCTTCCTGCCCCTCAGTTATCACTTTTTGCCAGCTCCAATGTGTCTTTTGCTTTCCCACTCCACCTGAATCAGTTGTTGAGACAGCTTCCAAGCCTCCAGCATGGTTTCTTATACCTTCCCTACTGTCTCCGTTCTCTGATTCTAAACACAAGTCTGCTCACACCCCTCCCTACCTCCAGATTGTCCCTGAATGAAGCTGACCACCATATCTGCCCTCCAAGGTTATAAATGAGTTCATCTCTGTCTACTTGAGGGATGGGGAACCTTGTTTTCTGCCAAAAGTTATAAAACATTATTCATGGGCCATACAAAATTATCAACTTAAAAATTAACTCGCTGTATTTGGTCAAACATTTAAAGCTCTGGTAGCTTAGTGATTACAAATTGGGCTGCTTACCTCAAGGTCAGCAGTTCAAAACTGCGGAAGTAAGATGAGGTGTTCTGCTCCCGTAAAGATTTGCAGCCTTAGAAACCCTGTACAAAGTCCCTGTGAGTCGAACCAACTTCACAGCACACCACCACCACTACCGTTGTGTTGGCTAGAACTGCGATAGCCTTGGCAGCACCAGACCAAATGATTTCACAAGCCTTATATGTGGTCTGCAGGCCAGATATTCCTCACCCCTGACTGACCTCATCACAGCGACCCTGTATAGAATTTCCAAGAAGCAGCTGGTGGGTTTGAAGTCCAGTACTGATCCTACAGTGTCACATGAAAAGTCCCTTTGGAAAGCGTCAGATACTTTTGATCCGTATCAGTATGAATTGTTATGTATTATTGTTCTGATTCACTGTTGTGGTTAGGTGCCATTGAGTCGGTGCCAACCCATAGCAACCCTATGCACAGCAGAACAAAACACTGCCTGATCCTAGGCCAACCTCACTACTATTGCCACGCTTGAGTCCATCGATGCTGCCACTTGGCCAATCCATCTCGTTGGGAGTCTTCCTCTTTTTCTCTGACCCTCCACCTTACCAAACATGATATCCTTCTCCACTGACTGGCGATCCTATATACTACAGAATGAAACATTGCTCAGGTCTACTCCGCTCCCACAATAATTGCTATGTAAGCCCATTATTGCAACCATGGTGTTAGTCAGTCCATCTCCTTGAGGCTCTTCCTCTTTTTCACTGACCTTCGACCAAACATGATGTCCTTCTCCAGGGACCAATCCCTCCTGATGAGATGTCCAAAGTATGTGAAACAGAGTCTCACCATCCTCACTTCTAAGGGACATTCTGGCTGTACTTCTTCCCTGGCAAATTTATTCATTCTTCTGGCAGTCCATGGTATATTTAACATTCTTCACCAATACCATGATTCAAATGCATTCAAATTGGTCTTTAGACTTCCTTATTCATTGTCAGCTTCTGCATGCATGTCAGGCAATTGAAAATGCCATGGCTAGAGTCAGGCACATTTCAGTACTCAAAGTGACATCTTTACTTAGTAGTAGTTGTTGTTGTTGTTATGTGAGTGGAGTTTGTTCTGACTCATAGCGACCCTGTACAGAGTTTCCGAGGCTGTAAATTTTTACCGGGGCAGAAAGCCTCATCTTTTTCCCATGGAACAGCTGGTAGTTTCAAACTGCTGACCCTGAGGTTCACAGCCCGATTCATAATCACTATGCTACCAGAGCTCTGTAGTTGTTGTTAAATGCCACTGAGTAGGTTCCGACTTATAGCACCCCTGTATAGGGTTTCTGAAGTTTTAAATCAGGAGCAGAAAGCCTCGTCTTTCTCTTGCAGAGCAGCTGGAGGACTCAAACTGCAAAGCTTATGGTTCTTAGTCCCATGTTTATCATATGTTGTTGTTGTTGTTAAGTACCGTCAAATCGGTTCCAACTCATAGCGACCCTATATAGGGTTTCCGAGGAGCATCTAGTGAGCACATTAAGTCACAGCACCACATCAGGACTCCACTTATCATATTGTTGTTAGAGTCACTGCTGAGCTCTGAGCCTCTCTGACTTTGCTTTCTCACACCAGCCTTGCCAGATAAATTTTATGTATCCTCCATGGCCCGGCAAAGTTCTCTATTCATGTCCCCAGAATCCATATCCTCTATTGCTCTTTTCCTGTGCCCACCCCTCCTGACCCTTCTCACAGCCCCTGCCTCTTCTCCTCTTCCTAGAGCACCTTCTTTACTTTAATCCCCAGTTTGGAGAAAGATCCAGAGTTTTGAATGACCCAATGTTCTAGAAGCTGGGAATACAGCAGTAGAATGGAATGTCAGTGAGAAAGAGGAAGATCCCTCCAACGAAATGGTTTGGCACAGTGCCGCAGTAATGAGCTGAAGTGTAACAACATTTGTGTGGATGGTGCAGGACCAGGAAGTGTTTCATTCTGCTGTGTGTAGGGGTTGCTATGAGTTGGAACCGACTTGACAGCACCTAACAACAACAACAATGTTGAAGAAGGTAGAGAATTTGTGGTCTAAAAGAGACAAGATTCAAAATGACCCCCAAAGGTAGACCAAAAAGCCAAATCTAAAATGCAGAACTAAGTCAATGCATAATTCTACTCTTGGTATTCATCAATTGTCCTATAGAGTATGGGGTCATCTAACAATGATTCCTGAAGCTTTAGTTCTCACAAATTCAATATTACCTTGACAAATACTTATTTTTAGAGCACCGGGCATGGTTCTAGGAGCTGGAAACACAGCAGTAAACAAAAGAGGCAAAGCCCACCCTCTCATGAAATGAGTGAGCCAACAGTGAGACTAAGTCCCAAGACTACATGAATAGAAGTATAGAAGGTACAGTAAGGAGGTGGAAGTCTCTGCCCTGATCAGATCACAGTTAGAATTTTGTGTTTCCCTCTGGCTACCACTCATTAAGCAAGACACTGATTGTGCCCCAGAGGTAGGATGAGGAGTTGGATATCATATCTTATGAAGAAAGGCTGGGTGACTGAGACTGGTTAGTACGAAACAACATGATAAAGAGGGAATTTCATTTTTCTCATTATGTTTTAAAAGGTGGTAAACAAGTTTTTCCATTCGTATTATTTAATATTTTTCTTTTTTAAGAGAGCTGCACTAACGGAATTGTTCAGCCTCAATTGTCCTCTTCTTTCTTTCTGTTTTTAAGCAGAGGTACAGTTTGCAACTCAGCCTACCACCAGTATAGAGGGAAACAAGAGATTCAAACTGGGTGCACTGCTTTTGAGATGATTTTGTCTGTTTCCTAAAAACTAAATGTGTCATGATTCTAAAAACACTGGACTATTAACCACAAGGTCAGTGGTTTAAGTCCACCAACTGCTCCACAGGAGAAAGATGAGACTTTCTGCACCCATATAGATTTACAGCCTTGGAGACCCTATACAGAGTTGCTATGAGTCAGAACCAATTCAACAGCATTTATTAACAACAACAACAATTCTAAAATGCCTATTGTCATTGTTGTTAAGTTCCATCAAGTTGGTTCTGACTCATAGGGATCAGGCTTAGGCAAATTATATCACTGATATTATTTCTTCCCCAAATTACTGTGCTCGCTCTGGTAGCATAGTGGTTACGAGTCAGGCTGCCAACCTCAAGGTCAGCAGTTTGAAACTACCAGTGGTTCTGTGGGAGAAAGATGAGGTGTTCTGCTCCCGTAAAGATTTACAGCCTCAGAAACCCTGGGCAGGGTCACTATGAGTTGGAACCAATGCCATGGTACTTAACAACAACAACAGTAGAAAACATAGGTGACACTGTGGGCTAATGCATCAGACTGCAAAGTCATTTGAACTGCAAGGTCAGTGGTTCAAGCTCACTAGCTGCTACTTCAAAACCCTATATAAGGTCGCTATGGGTCGGAATTGACTTGACGGCACTTAACAATAACAACAACAACAATGAAAATATAGGCGGCACTGTGGGTTAATGTGTCAGACTGCAAAATCATTTGAACGGCAAGGTCAGTGGTTCAAGTTTACCAGCTGCTCCTTGGAAACCTTATACAGGGTCACTATGGGTCGGAACTGACTCAACAGCACTAAGCAACAACGCTAACAGCAATAAAAAATAAAGTCCTAGAAGAAAGCTGAGACCAGGTTAACAATGTCTTAAAGTCAATGGTGTTGAATATTCAGAGGCTGGGTTTAAGCAGAAGTAGCTAGATTGGTCACTTCATATTTTAAATAAAAAGTTTAAAAATTAATTTTTTCCACTACTTAGTTTAAGACATTGGTAACATATGAATGCAGAAAACGTATTTTGAAGTATACTTTTTGGTATATGAGAGATTGTGCAGTCTGAATGCCCCTCCTCAAATCTTCATTCCTCTCCTCAAAAACCATTCTGGAGACTTTGTGACATATTCCAAACGTCCAGTATGTGCAAACATATATGTGTGTGTACAGATAGATGATGTATGTTTATATAGGATGAGTGCAGCTATAACAGATAATCCATTACCTTTGAGTCGATTTCAATTCATGGTGACCCAGTATGTTACCGAGTAGAACTGCTCCGTAGTCCCAGTGTGGCGCTGTAGGATCAGCACTGGACTGCTAAACACAAAGTCAGCGGTTCAAACCCACCAATTGCTTTCCTCAGAAACCCTAAGCAGTTAACAACAACAGTACATAATGACACTTAGCAACAACACTTAACAACAACAGCAATCTTTACAGAAATCGGTCATTTGTTCATTCTTACCCTGGACCTCTGGGTGAGTTTGAACTGTCAACCTTTAGGCTAGCAGTCCAACTGTTTTTGCCACCAAGTTGTTGTTGTTAAGTGCCTTTGAGTCGATTCTGACTCATAGCAACCCTTTATAGAGTTTCTGAGGAGCAGCTGGTGGGTTTGAACTGCCACCCTGGCGGTTAGCAGTGCAGTGCTTATCTTATAGTGTCACACCAAGACTCCATAAACAGATTTGTTGCTAAGTGCTGTGGAGTCAGTTCCAAATTATAGTGAGCCGATATTGAGTATCCAAGGAGTGGCTTGTGAATTTGAGCCACCAACCTGTGGTTGGTCCATTGCTTTATCTCATAGTGTCATGCCAGGACACCATAAACATAGATAGTAACATGAAAAGAAAGAAAATTGGATTTTCTCAAAGGCAGATTTCAGGAGTCAGAAGAATGTCTTTTGCAGGACCCACGGGATGGCACCAGGTCCCAGTTGGATTGGACTCTGGCTCAAAGGAGCACCCATTCTCAAACATTTTTTTCCTGTGGCTCACGTAGAAGGGCATGAAAGCTACCATTACCCAATCAATTACAATTTCTTATGCTTCCATATCTAGTGGTCATTAAAAAATGGAAAGGAATAAAATAAAGAAAGCAATGCCCAATTTTCATAACCCTTTATAATTTACTTAATGGTTACTGGTAGTGGTGGTGGTGGAGTGTAGAAGAGAAATTAAAAAATCCATGGGCCATTCCTGCAGAAGCACTGAAGAAAGGCCTTGCAGTTGTGGATCCATTCTTGGCCCACTATGATAGTCCTCTCGTATCCCATGACCCATGCTTGGGAAGACTTATCTAAAATACGGGGTCTGAAGAAGAAACATGATTTCTTTTTAGCTGCACAGTGGTAACTGTTACGAAAGAGTTTGTGATGAGAAGAAGAGACTCTGCTCTAAGGAGAGGTATAGAGGAACATTCGTAGGTAGACATGCTTCGTGAGGTACCTGGGTCAGCCATCCTATGGTTCTTCCTCTCCCCACCTTCAGGAATTGCCCCATCCACCCCCAAACTGTATCTTTCAGCTCAGAAACAATTCCCTCTTTATGTCCAGGAGTTCAACCATGTATCTTCTCATCTTTCCATCCATCCAGACATTGATTCATATATAAATGTTTATGGTGTCTATTGTGGGCCATGCACTGTGCCTGGTGCCAAGGATTCACAGATGGCCCCTCTCCGTGGCCTGACCACTGTGATTAATGGGGAAACAGAGAAGCTCTGGTGATGAGAGGACAGCATGGGAAGAGCTGGGATGGGAACACAGAGATGGGCCATATCCGATGTGAAGTGGTTTGGAGGGCTGGCAGATCCTCTGACCAGTTTAGGGGGCATTGCAGGCTGAAGGGACTCGAAGAGGCCCAGTTGAAAGGAACAGGAACCATAAAGGAAAAATAGGTCTTTGACCTGCCCCAGTGGCAGTCTGGAGATTGCACAGAGCCAGCATATGGGGGGCTGTGCAGGCAGAGAAGGAGTGTGAATGTCACCCAGGTGGTGGGAAGTTACTGAGGCTTCTGGGAGAACCTCTGTCTGTGGTTTTGTGTTCTGAAAGCGAAGCTTCAGGGCCAACTTTGTTTACCTTGTTTGGTCACAGCTGTTGGAGGGCGGGCACATCTGCCAGTTTGAAGAGGCCCAGGGCCCCTGCAGGGTCCAGTGCTGTGGGAGAGGAGACTTGCCCTTCCAGGGAGGCCCTGCCTGGCTCTGTCTTTCAGAGAAGAGCCAAGTCCAAGCCTACAGGCAGCCTCTGTGGCACCCCCATGGAATTTTCCTCTCGGAGCCTGACCCAGTTCCTCGCTGTTACTCAGTCACTGTGGGTGAGCTTGTGGAATTCCAGAAAGGTTCACCTTTAGAAAGGAACACTAATGTTTCCAGGATCCTTCTCAGGCTTTGCCTAAATGGCTCCAGGGTTTGACTGAACCACTTAGTCCATTTCTGGGCTCCTGCTTCAGCAGTTCCCTTCCTTAGAGCCAAGGCTTCCCCCACCCACCATCCCCGGATCCATCAAGACACCCCATTCCCATCCTAGCTGCAACTTCAAGGCTGCCACAGACCCAATGTGCAGACACTTCAGCAAAGAGAGGTTATCAGACGTCCTGCCTAGCAACCAGAAAACTGGGGAAAGTCAAAGGGCCGAATGGCTACTGTTTTAGAATCACAGCACTTATTCCATGTCCTAACCTTAGTCATGTACACAGGAGTCAGATAACTGGTCTATATTTCATGTCTGACAGTTCTTGGGTCATTTATGCTTGGTTGGGGACTTGCCTTCAGCTTTGTGTTTCTCCCCAGAGTATCTTATAGGACAGCTCCTCCCAGCCCCTCCCAAGACTCTTCTCTGCTCTCATCCCATTTCTCAATTACAGTGTAATTTCTTCCTGGGAAATAGATTATGAAGTATCTGAGGATAGGAACCACTCACAGAACATTTGTCCGTGTCGTCCCAGCACAAGCAGGAAAGAAGCAGGGAGGAAAGGAAGACCATGGGGAGAATGGGAGAGCCTCTCATAGTATTCGGGGAAAATGGAAGACAAATGCAGGCTTCTGGTAGTATTAAAGGCAGAGTTTGTAAAGATAGGCCATTACTACTCAGCACTGAATGCAGTGAGTGAGGTTGAGTTCTATGCTGGACTATTGCATCTTTACATAAATAACGTGCATGTTCTATGTCTGTTTGTCAGCTGTGCCCTCCCTCTTCCCCGCAATGTGTTTCATAAATGCGCTGTATCAGTAATTTGTACATGTTTCTTTTTTAAAAAAATTTAATCAGCATGTGTGCTTATCAAAATACCTCCAGAGGGAAGTGTGTAGTTGACAAATGTAGTGTATGTGCGCTATTTGCGCAAAAATATTGTACTGACTTTGATAATAAAAATAATGGTGATGATGTATGTCAGGGAACACATATGTGCTTTAAAAACGTCATTACATTTATTCCTTCAATAATCCTAAAAGGAAATACTATCATTACCCCCATTTTACAGTGGGGAAAAGGAAGTCCAGAGTGTTTGCCACTAACCTAAGTAACACAGATGCTAGATGGCAAAGCTGTGCCATGCCTCAGCTCTGGGTCTGCAGAGTCAGGAGCACTGCCTGAGTTCTTCCTCATGCTGCTGCTCTGGCGTGTACCATGGTACCTGTGGCAGTGGCTGGTCCTAGCTAGTGTTCTTTCTGCCCACCGTTGTAGAGCGAGTGGAATGGACTGTTAGGATATCCGGCTTCCAGAGAATCGTGAACAAGAGACAGATTAATTAAGCAAATATACATGAGAGCTTGAAGGATTTAACAGTTTGCCTGTAGTAACACTAGAGCCTAGGAGAAAAAGAACCATCAGACATGACATGGGTTTGGGACAGGGACAGCTGGGACACCCTGTTGTTCCCCACCTGACCAGGTCCTTTGGGCTCTGGGGATGCAGCCTGAGAAAGGAGCCTAGGGTGGGGCAGTCCCCAGTCTTCTTTTGTCCTGAATAGGTGGCCCCATGGAGGGAGAGGGTGGAGGCCTATGCCCTGTAATAATCTGACTTCCTGTTCAAAGGTATTTTTCAGGGGCATCACCGTGAATGCTGTGCGGGGTTTCCCTATGAGCGCAGCCATGTTCCTTGGTTATGAGCTCTCACTGCAAGCAATCCGTGGGGACCAGGCTGTGACGAACCCTTGAGCCCAGGTCAGTGTACTTCCTTCTCAACCATTAGGCCTCCCAAGGCTTGAAATGCTTCTTTGTCATGAAAACATTTTGACCTTCTGAAATGTGCTCTTGCCATTCGTTTTTGTCTAATCTGTGTTAGATCTGGTTCAGTGGTCACCATTGTCACCATTCTGAAATGTCCACCTGTGACAGTCAAGACACTGTTGTGCCATCAAGTCAGTTCCAACTCACAGTGACTCTGTGTAGGATTTCTGAGAAGTGGCTGATGGATTTGAACCACTGAACTTGTGGTTAGCATTCCAGTGCTTATCCTACACCATGACTCCCTCAATAACTGGGGCTGGCACAAAACTGACCTGTTTAAAGTGAGGTCTCATTTTCCCACACAGCAGCTTTAACAGCCCTTGGAAAGAAGTGCTTTTAGCTTCATTTTACAAATTGGATGATCGAGGCTCAGAAGTGAAAACTTGAGCCAGGGTGCCAACAGGGCATCAGCTCCTGAGTCTGAGAGCCACCAGCAGGTGCCCGAAGTATTGGAGCAAATTCTCTGCCATCATTCCTAGCTCCTGCATTCTTTTCTCCTTGCCATGTGCAGAAAGATCGGATCTTCTAAAAACAGAAATCTGGCCAAGTGACTCTGCTCAAACCCTCTCCATGACTCCCCATTGGCCTCCAGGTCCAGCATCAGTCTCAGCCTGACCACCCCCCTAAGCATATCATCTTCTTTCTCACCTCTAGGTCTTTGCTCAAGCTGTTTCCTCTGCCTGACACCCTCTTCTCACTCTTCCCACCCTTGTCCTTGGCTTCACCAACTCCATTGTCATCCACACCTTGGCTTAGAAGTCTCCTTCTCTAGGAAGCCCTCCTGATGCCTCAGCTGGGAAGACTTGTACCTGGTGTAGGCTTCCTCCCACAGCTCCTGGTGATCCCACACTAACTGAATTATAGCTGCCTGACTAATTTCCTCACTCCCAGTCACTGTGCAAGTTCCAGGCAAGCTGCAAAGCCCTTTCTCATCTTTGTATCCTGGTACAGAGCCTGGCACACACATACATTGGGGTGTGGATGGATGATCACACTCTCAGTTCCTTCTCTGCCTCCTGTTGCTTGTTCTCCTTTCACTGGCCTCAGATAGTTAACTGTAAAGCTCAGAAAACAATCTGGTGAGCCACTAGATTGTCTTGTCAATCAAGAAACCATTTTGCTTCCACCTGGGCACTGAAAATTCTGCCCAAATCTTCTGGACTGGCAGAGCATCTGTGGGCAGCACAGTCTTCCCGCTCAACCTACCCTGACCCAGTACTCACAGATGGTATAGAAGGTAGATGTAGGGAAGGGTATGGTCACAGATCTGCCAGAGTGAGCCCAGGACAGACTCTAGTAGTGGACTTTAAATAACATGTGTTTAGTTTTTTACTAAAGCTTTTGTATTCGTAGCTTTTCTGACTTTTTGCCTTTTCTTATGAAAGCCATTTTGCATAATTAAACATCTTGGACAAAGAGTTCCTGGATTAGGGTTATGTCCAGGACAGGGGAGAGAAGTTAGTTACTTTGTTTTGTTTTTTGTTGTTGTTTATTTTGTTTTACTTTGTTTTTAAAGCTGTGCTCAGATGCCAACCACTCCTTGCTTTAAATGGATAAAATAATTCTTTAACATATCCTAAATGAGGAGTTCTGGTAGTGTAGTGGTTACGAATCGAATCAGGCTGCTAATCTCATGGTCAACATTTCAAAACTACCAGCTGTTTTGCAGGAGAAAGATGAGGCTTTCTGCTCTCATAAAGATTGACAGCCTCGGAAATCCTGTATAGGGTCGCTATGAGTCACAACCGACTCTATGGCACATAACAACAACAATAACATCAGTGCATTTTTATTTTAAAAGAAAATACAAATTAAGACAACAGAATAACAATACCTATCATTCCAATACCTTGCTATTGTTCTTCCAAGTACTTTTTATGTGTACCCCCAAAATGGGATCTGACATTACTTGTTTCCTAGCCCATGTCTCCCACTTCATAGTGCAGGACCATTTTTGCATGTCATTAAGTTTTGGCGACTATTTTTGTTGCCAAGAACTTGCTGTCACAAGAGTGGCTAGGTGCTGACCAAGCAGGCACACCCTGCTACTTATGACCTTTACTTAGAAGGAAGGAGGAAGTGTCCTACAAATCAAACAGGATTGTCTTGGATTTGGCCTGTGAGAGCAGTGACCGGCCCCATTAAGTGGTTTTCTTCCTGAAAGTGCTGTCATGCAAGGAGCTCAGATGTCTATCTTCCTATCCTCTGTTGGCTAGGGGGTAGGCATCAGCCTGCTAGAGAGGAGAGGGAAATGGCTTCCGAAGACTTTTATGAACATGGCTTCCCCTGCTCTAACCCAAGAGTCTCAAGGCCTTGTAGCTCATCCTGGACTTGAATTTACTGAGTGGACAGTTCATGTATTATGTAACTAACTCTGAAGGTGAGTCCAGACTGAGGACAGGGAGATGATGTACATTAGAGAACTTGGGAGCCCTGTATTCCTAAGAGCCAATGTAAGGTCCACCAATGATGGAGAAGCTCACGTGATGCTGTGATGCTGGAAGCTCTGACACCAATAGTTCAAATACTAGCAGTGTCACCCATGGTATACAGGGTTCAGCAGAGCTCCAAGACTAAGACCAACTAAGAAGAAGCATCCAGTGGTTTCCTTCTAAAAATAAAAGCGGCCAGTGAAAACCTTATGAAAAGTAGCAGAATATTGCCTGATATAGCTCCAGAGGATGATCCCCTGAGGTTGGAAGACACTCAAAATACAACTGGGGAAGAGCTGACTTCTCAAAATACAAGTTGACCTTAAAGATGTGGGAGGAGTAAAGTTTTCAGGACCTTCATTTGCTAATGTTACATAATTTAAGATGAGAAGAAACTGCTGCAGCTATTCATTAATAATTATAATGTAGGATGTACAAAATATGAATGTAGGAAAATTGGAAGTTATCAAAAATGAAATAGAATGCTTGAAGATGAATATGATAGGTATTATTGAACTGAAATGGACTAATATTTGCAATGTTGGATCTAAAATGCATGATTTACTATGCTTTGTTGCAGCTTGTTCCAACTCATAGTTCCAACTCATAGTGACTTTATGCACAACATAACAAAATACTGTCTGGTACTTTGTACATTCTGTGTTCCAACTATTAATGGATGTTTACAGCTGTTTCTCTTCACTTTGACTTGTGCCTCAGCAGCAAAGGAAGGTCTCAAAAACTGTAGTCCATTCATGTCTTCATGTTCAACTCTACTTTGAGGAGGCAGCTCTTCTCAAGTCATATTTTGAATGTCTTCCAACCTGAGGGGCTCATATCTGACAATATTCTGGTTTTATTAATAATGTTTTCATTTTCTAGTACTCTATCTGACAATGTTCCACTGCTATTCATAAGGTTGTCCATGACTAAATATTCAGAAGTAATCCAGCTCTTTTTCCTAGTCTGTCTTTGGAAGCTGATCTGAAACCTGTCCACCATGGTGATCCTGGTGGTATTTAAAACACTGAGGGAACAACTTCCAGCATCACAGCAACATGTAAATTACCACAATCTGGCAAACTAAGTGGTGGGTCTACTATGCTAGGAATGACAAACTGAAGAATGATGTAATCACTTTCATCATCTAAAAGAACACTGCAAGATCCACCCTGATGTACAACACTGTCAGCGATAGTATCACATCACTAACATACACCTACAAATCAGCCAAGTTAATACAACTATCATTCAAATTTACCCACCAACCATTAATGCCAGGGGTCAACTGCAGAACAGATCATCAATTGCTCATGTTCAAGTTCAAGTTGAAGCTACTAGCCCATGAGAGTCAAAGTGCAGCCTTAAGTATATCCTACCTGATACCTGAATTTAAAAGGAGCTCTGGTAGCATAGTGGTTAAGAGTCAGTCTGCTAATCTCACGGTCAGCAGTTTGAAACTAACAGCTGTTCTGCAGGAGAAAATAAGGCTTTCTACTCTCGTAAAGATTTACAGCTTCAGACACCCTTACACAGGGTGGCTATGAGCCAGAACCAACTCCACAGCACATCACCACCTGAATTTAAAGATCATCTCAAGAACAGATTTGACACACTGAACACTAATGACTGAAGAAAAGATGAGTTGTATAATGACATGAAGGACATCATACATAAAGGAAGGAAAATGTCATTAAAAAACAAGAAGAAAACAAAAGACCAAAACAGATGTCAGAAGACACTCAAACTTGCTCTTGAATGTAGAGTAGCTAAAACAAACAGAAGAAATTATGATATAAAGGAGCTAAACAGAAGTTTTCAAAGGGTGACTTAAGAAGACAAGATAAAGTATTATAATGAAATGTGCCCAGACCTGGAGTTAACTAACCAAAAGGGAAGAACATACTCGGCATTTCTCAAGTTGTAATATTGTAATATTGAAGGATTCTATGGGCAAAATGGAGTCCTGGTGTGGTGCTGTGGGTTAATGCGCTGGAATGCAAAGTCAGCTTGAACCGCAAGGTTGGAAATTTAAACTCAATAGTCGCTCCTGAGAAACCCTACACAGGGTCACTATGGATCGGAACCAACTCAAGGGCACTTCACAATAACAACAACAAATGGGCAAAATATTGAATGAGGCAGAAAGCATCAAAAAAATATGAAAGGAGTACACAGAGTCACTGTGCCCCAAATAATTGGTTGATATTCAACCATTTCTGGAGGTGAGATACGATCTTGAAGGAAGATAAGATCTTGAAGGAAGAAGTCCAGGCTGCACTAAAGGCATTAGTGAAGATCAAAGCTCCAGTAATGAGTGGAATACCTACTGAGATGAGTCATCAAATGGATGCAATGCTGGAAGCACTCACTGGTCTATGGCAAGGAATTTGTAAGACAGCTTCTTAGCCAACCAACTGGAAAAGATACAGGAATTATGGAACAATATCATTAATATCACATGCAAGTAAAATTTTGCTGAAGATCATTCAAATA